AATTCTGGAATGTATGGCCCCCAAAAGCTTGACTTTCCTGGCAAAGGGAGCAAGGGTGGTTAAGAGATTTAAAGGGGGTCTGAACAAAACAGCATTTCAACCCTGGCCATTTGCTCTGATGAGTTTATTCTGCATTAGCTGGACAGGGTGGGGTACATCTGTAAGGCCCAGAAGGTCAAGGTTATGGTGAGCTGTGATCGTGCCACAGCATTCTAGCCTGGACAACAGAGTGAGAGCACACAAAGGACATGTATTGTAAGATCAACTGATATAAAAAGTCTCAAAAAGGCAACTGCATAGGGACAGAAAGTAGATTAGTGGCTGCCAGGAGATGTGGTGGGGGAAAGTAAATGAGGAGTGACCGCTAATGCGTACAGTATACAGTGTTTTCTTTTGGGACAATAAAAATGTTCTGGAATTAGTGATGGTTGTTGCACAAATCTGTGAATATGTGAAAAACAACTGAAGTGGACTCTTTAAAGTGGGTGAATTGCAGATATTTGAATTACAGCTCAACAAAGCTGTTATTACACACTAGTTACATCTGATACTCATGTACTCCTTCCCACTTCTTCATCCTAACCTTCCATCAGGCAGTGGATTTGTCATATCTGAATGTAGATTCCACCAATTAACTTAAAGAAAATTTCAAGTAAACTGCAAGAATTTCCAGCAGCAATAACTCCAGGCCAAGTGATGGCTCATACTTATAATCCCAGCACTTTGGGAGGCCAAGGCGAGAGGATTGCCTGAGCCTACAGGCTCTAGAGCAGCCTGAGCAAGTTGCGAGACCTCATCTCTACAATACATTAAAAAAAAAATAGCCAGGTATGGTTGTGTGTGCCTGTAGTTCCAGCTACTTGGAAAGCTAAGGTGAAAGGATTGCCTGAGGCCAGCAGGTCAAGGCTGCAGTGGTCGTGAGCAGGCCACTGCACTCCAGCCTGGGTGATAGAGTGAGACTCTGACTCAAAACAAAACAAAACAAAACAAAAAAACTCCAAAATGTTGCTTTTTTTCTTAAGCAGACACTCTGTGATTTGATCTTGATGTCATGGTCAAGGGTATTTTTATGAACACACGCACTGTCTAGCAATGGACTATCTGATCTGATGTTGTTCTCCACCCCTACACTGTACATCTGGGATCTTTGCAAGTGAACTTTCTGCTCCTGTCTTTTATGTATTTGTGTCTCTTTCCTGGCTACGGCCACTTCCTGCTGCTGCCAGAGGCCTGTCTCCAGCTATGTGGCCTGTGCTTCCTCCTCCTCTTTGCTGGGAACCCAAGCAGTGGTTGGATGGCAGCTTTGAGCAGAACCAAGGGGGCTCTTCTAAGAATCAAGACCTGCACTTCCCACATGGGACCACTCTGCGGGATACCCGTAAGCTTTGAAGTTTGATTCTCAGTGCTCAGCTGAGCTGCAGGTGGATGAGGATGCTAAACAAGGGACAGGCTTTTGAATTTTTTTTTGTTTTTGAGTTAGAGTCTCACTCTGTTGCCCAGACTGGAGTGCAGTGAGTGGCATGCTCATGGCCACCACAGCCTCGATCTGTTAGGCTCAGGAGATCTTTCTGCTTCATTCTTCCAAGTAGCTGGAACTACAGGCATGCAGCACCATGTCTGGCTAATTTTTTGATTTATTGTAGAGATGAGGTCTCACCAAGTTGCCCAGGCTGATCTCAAACGCACCAAGTTGCCCAGGCTGATCTCAAACGCGTGGGCTCAGGCAATCTCTCACCTCGGCCTCCCAAAGTGCTGGGATTATAGGCGTAGGCCACCATGCCCGGTGGGCTTTTGAATCTAAAGATGTCCCACTGGACACAGTGATTCATGCCTGTAATCCCAGCACTTTGGGGGGACAAGGCGAGAGGATTGCCTGAACCCATGGGTTCAAGACCAGCCTGGGCAACTTGGCAAGACTTCATATCTACTATAAATTTAAAAATTAGCTGGGTGCGGTAGTTCATACTATAGCCTGGGCAACAGAGTGAGACTCCAATTCTAAATAAATAAATAAATAAAGTGCGTGATGCTTTTAAAAATAAAAACGATAAAAAGAAAGGAAAGAAGGAAGGAAGAAAGAAAAAAAGACAGCCCAAAGCTTGGTGGCCACTTGTCACTTTCAAGGCACCTTTATCAGTGCACATTCATGAGATTCTTTGCTTTCCCGCTGGACTGCTGGGGACAGGTCTCTCCCACCTCTCCGCCATCCTGATGGAGGCCTCTGCCTGGGCAGTAAAATTCCATAGCCCCTCCACCTTTTTTTCCTTCCCAGATAGCATCTGCAAAGCTCTACAATTTCACTGAATCACCAAGTCTCAGGTTGCAGTCTTATCTAATTGCTCTCATCCTTGATTCTGAACACCCTGTGCCCACTTCCTTGTGAACACCTTGAGTCTTTTTGCCAAGCCCTTTAGATGGGCTAATCAGTACCACTTTCTTATGCCATTGAGTGTGCCATCACAACCATGCTGTTACTACCAGGTTGGTGCTGTCTCTTTTTTGCCTTAGTTTCCTTTTTTTTTTCTTTGAAGTCGAGGTCTCACTCTGTCGCCCAGGCAGGAATGGAGTATAGTGGCACGATCACAGCTCACCACAGCCTCACACTCTGTGGGCTCAGGCAATCTTCCTGCCTCATCTTTCTGAGTGGCTAGGACTACAGGCACACATCACCATGTCCAGGTAATTTTTTGATTTTTATTAGCGATGAGGTCATGCTATGTTGCCCAGGCTAGTCTTGAACTCTTGAGCTCAAGCAATTCTCTTGCCTGTCTCCTAAAATGCTGAGATTACAGGCATGAGTTACCACACTGGGTCTAGTTTCCTTTTAAACATACTTCTTTGATAGCTTAGTAACTGTTCTATTATCCCAGGGTATTGGTGGCCCGTGCCATGCTGTCTGAACACGCTGGATCGTGCTACACATCTGAATGTGGCACAGGCTCATTGTTTGACTTCTCAGAGGGGACTATTTTCTCTCCCAATTCAAAGGCTTGGGTAGAGGTGGATTTTTCCTGTGGCTAATGGCTAGAAGCCTGGTTTTCAGCTCCCTTCTCCTTCTCTTCTTTTTTTGAGACAGGGCTTTGCCCTGTTGCCCAGGCCAGAGTGCGGTGGTGGGATCATAACTCACTGCAGCCTCAACCTCCTGGTCTCAAGTGATTCTCTTGCCTCAGCTTCCCAAGTAACTGGGATGGGTGCACACCACCAAAGCCTAGCTAATTTCTTTTTTTTTTTACTTTTTGTAGAGACAGGTTCTTGCTATGATGCCCTGGCTGATCTTGAACTCCTGGCCTCAAGTGATCTTCCCACCTTAGTCTTCCGAGTAGCTAGAACTACAGGTACACACCAACAAAGCCAGCTTCAGCTCCCTCCTTTATGGAGGATCACACGTAGGCATTACAACCCAAACCACCAGTCTCTTCCCAGATCTGATGCTCTTCCCACACCCCCACCCCCACCCCATGGTCACCACCCAGGCACAGCTTTCAGCTCTTTATTTTCTGCTCTCAGATATTTCCCTTTTTAAATGTTCTACATACAGAGATTTCTTTTTTAAAATTTTGTTCTATTTTGACTACCATTTCCAAGTGTTTTGCAGTAGGAAAGACTAGCTTAGTCACCTTTTTTTTTTTTTTCTTGCGAGTCGAAGTTTATTCAGGAAGCAAGTGGGACAGCTCTCAGAGCGAGAGGGTACCTGAGTAGATCGTCCAAGGGAGGCCAAGGAAACATGGGGGGGAGGGGCTTATATAGTACTCGGGGACATGCTTATTGGTTGGTGGGGCAGCTACACCAGCAGACTCGAAAATACACCAATCAGAAGGAAGCACACAAAAGGGAGGGGTCCACAGCTTCGGACCTGAAAAGTAGGTGTCTTAAATTTAGTTTGTGGGGCTTGTAGTGGAAGTTTTTTACCGGAATTTTTTTTTTTTTGAGTTGGAGTCTCACTCTGTCGCCCAGACTGGAGTGCAGTGGCTGCTCCCGGCCACCACAGCCTCGACCTGCTGGACTCCAGCGATCCTTCCGCCTCAGCCTTCCAAGTAGCTGGAACTACAGGCACGCGCCACCACGCCCGGCTGATTTTTTGATTTATTGTGGAGATGAGGTCTCGTCAAGTTGCCCAGGCAGGTCTCGAACCCGCAGGCTCAGGCAATCCACTCACCTCAGCCTCCCAAAGGCGCCGGATTAGAGGCTGAGCCACCGAGCCCGGCGGACCGGAATTTTTTTTAACAGAGACCCACCCCAATCCATCTGCCTATCCGATTTTTTTCCCTTTCTTATTCCCCCTTCTAGAGTGGTGATCCTAACTGTCATTAGGGGATGGGGCAATGACCAGTCTATTTTTTGTCAACTGTCGTTAGTTAAAAGACTTATTTTTCCAATTAGGCTCGTTAACTTTTATAATCAAAAACTTAAAAAAAAACAAAACAAGCCGGGCTCGGTGGCTCAGCCTGTAATCCCAGCACTTTGGGAGGCTGAGGTGA